ACTCCATGGCATGTGGGATCTTCCCAGGCCTGGGATCAACCCGTGTCCCCTGCATTGGCAGGCAGATTCTTAACCACTGAGCCACCAGGAAAGCCCCTCATTGGACTTTAATTGCATCCTCACAGGCCCTATTCCACATAGACATTGGGGGTCCACATGTGAATTTGGGGGGACACAATTCAGTCCATAGCAGTTCCATATTGCTTCTTAGAAAAAACATAATGTGTTGATATTCATAGTTTTATTTTACTTCCTTGTTTGGTTTACTGGAGTTTTTTATACCCACAGTAAATTGGGAACATAAAGAAATTTGGTGGTTTGGGTGGAAGTGCCTCTGTTTTAGATCCCACCACCTCATCTGAGTGTCTCCAACTGACAGTGTCCCTGAGCTGAGCTCCTGGTCTCCAAAGCCTCCCGCCTGCCAGTCGAGGGCCCTGGGGGAGCTGAGGAGCACCCCTGGGACCGGAAATGAGCTTGTTGTAATTGACGGTAACGAGTGTCTAATGACCATAATCAGGCAGGGACAGTGTGCTGGGAGACAGACACGCGGTGCTGAGGGAGAGGCAGCGCCGCATGCAAGGGGCCGCTCGCTGACAGAAGGCAAAGGCACTCGGCACGGCCGTGTCCACAGCTGGGACCAGTCCTGGTGACTAAGGCACAGGGTAACTTTTTTTAAGTTTTGCTTTTTCTCATACACATACATTCGCAAAAATATACAGCTTTAAAGAAACAAAGCTTGTAGCTCATGAATGCTGGTCATAACATACGCACTGTTAACACCACAGGGCCTGGGGTATGACAGGCATATTGTCTCCTTATTCATGGGCATTTGGGCGGTTTTGGTTTTTCACAGTTATGGGGTGGTTATGAGTGTCCTGTAAATACAGCATCTACAGGGGTCAGTGTTCCTCTAGGGTAACTTCGCAGAACAGAGTTCTGATCAAGATCAAAGGATATGTGCTTTTTCTGTGTTAATCGGCATTTCAAACCTCCCCTCCAAAAAAGGCCACACCAACACATACCCCGTAAAGAGATATGAGAAAATGGTGTTCTCTTTGTAATTTGAGAGCTTTCATTTGAGGACAGTAAGTCCCGTGGTTTTTTGGTGTATTTTTTAAAATCTCCAGCACCTGGTTGGGTACCTGGCTTGTGATAGACTCTCAGATGCTTACTGTTGGATAAATAAAAGAACAAAAGGGGAGTTCCCTAGTGGTCTAGTGGTTAGGATTCGGCGCTTTCACTGCTGTGACCCGGGTTCAATCCCTGGTCAGGGAACTGAGATCCCACAAGCCATGTGGCACGGCCAAGAAAAAAGAATGAAAGACTGCCACGCACTCCTGAGCAGCCCAGAGTCACACACGCATGAACACATACAGGTGTGCACATGCCCCGCATGTCCAGCCTGGACCATTCCTGCCCCTAATTGTAATGACGGAAGCTGTGATGGAAGCTGTGGAGGTGGCCTCTCCAGCCCCAGAGTCAGGGTGTGCTGGGGGCCCTCTGGGGTGGGACAGGGTGCTGTGTGTCCCTCTCGGGTCACTCCTGAGCCCCAGCCGCAACCACGGGTGCTCAGGGACGAGCTGCTGAGTAAGCCTGAGACGGTCGCAGAGCATCTGCTGTGCTGCAAAGGGCCATGAAGGGCCCAGCAGAGGGAAGGTTCATGAAGGTGGGTTTAGAAGGCTGTCACGAAAGACCCTGAGTACGAGGTGTCAGAGTCTAGGCTTTAATTTAGGTGGATGCAGGCCCTGTTTGAAGTCTTTGAACAAAAGAGTGGCATGATGAGCACAGTGTTTGAAGGTAGTTGGCTTGCTGGTGTGTACAGTGGATCAGAGGGGAGGCATTTCCTCACAGGTCATGGAGGGCAGGAGAGGGGTCAGTGCAGCAGGGTTCCAGCAGTGGCATTAAGGGAGGGGATGGATGGTGGGTTGATCATGGAGTTTGAATCAATAGGATTTGCAAACAGAGGGCCTGAGGGAGGAGGACGTCCATTATCTACTTTGGGTTAGGAATGGTTAGGAGGGTGTGGGCCTTTACAGGGATCAGGCTGCACAGGTCAACTCTGTCCAGGAGTGCCCAGCGTTTACATCTGGTGCTTCTTGAAGACGAAGTAAGGTTATTAGAGAATTGGGTCTCTGAACTGGAAGGCCAGCAACTGATAAAAGGGGCACTTTTCCTTTAGTTCTTTCAGAAAAAGCCACATTATAACCCAGTGGGACTGAGTTAAGTGGCAAGGGTTCCTGGGTGAGTTGAGGGTCCCCAAACATAAGGAGGTAAAGCTCCCTGCATGTGAAGAAAATTCCTGCAAGGATATGTCTTGAGCGCCTTCAATTTTCACTGGTGAGTTTTTGACAGAAAAGGTTAACCTGTTACGTAGGGAACAAGAAAAGGGCACATGATTAATGAGTAAATATCCATATGATAGGATTAAACTCAATTTTTTTTTTTGGCTGCACCACGTAGCTTGCAGGATCTTAGTTCCCCGACCAGGGATTGAACCCGGGCCACAGCAGTGAAAGCGCTGAGCCCTAACCACTGGACCGCCAGGGAATTCCCTAAACTCAATTTTTATTTGGGCACTTGAGTCAGTTAGTAGCTGATAGTATGGAGAGCCTGTTTCCAAGAAAACACTTTAAACTTTGTTTTTCCAGAAAGTCAGAGCTAGATGGATATCCTATATCATTACCTCCTTCTCCATTCCCTGCCTCCCATCAGGAACCACCCCCCAATCTTTTTTCCTCTGTAGCCACAGATGTTTCTTCTGTCACTGAAAAAGCAAAGAAGACACAGGTCCTGCAAGACCACCCTCCTCAGACCCGAGCTCGCTCTGTAACCCCTGCAGCAGCCTCTTCCCTGTACTGCCTGTCTCCTGTGCTCCTCTGGAACTTGCTAGTCAGGCTGTACCCCACCTTACCCTGCTTCTGCAGAGGTTAACGCGTTCCCCTAATGACCAAGCCCATGTTTTCACCCCTCTGTGACACTTCTGGTTTTTCCTCCACCTACCCGATAACTTTCCGTCTCCTCCTTTGCCTGTTCTTGAAATGCTGGTTTTCTAGTATTCAGGGGCATGGCCTTCTCATAGGTGTAGCTGCAGGTACAGGTGGATACGTATGGATTTCCCACACACCACACGCCGATGACTCATGAATACCTGTTTCCCACCCAAACTGGTCAGCTCAGCCCCAGCTCCCAGGAAGCAGCTGCCTTGCAGCCACCTGGACGTTCATGCTTATCTGGGTCAGGGACCAGGCTGATGCCATTTTTTCACGTGCCTGCCTGCTGCTTTGTGTGCTGTGCTTGGGAAAAATTGGCACCTTCCAGGGCGAATGTGGGAGTGGTCACAGCCTCTTCCTTTCTCTCACACCCACATCTGGTGGTCACAGACTCTGGGGCCTCACCCTCTGGCCACCCTGTAGCTGACCTGCATCCCCTCGGACAGCAGCAGCTCCCCCCAACGCCTCCCCTGCCCGTTCACTGCCCGTCCAGTCCTGCTCTCGAGCACGTCACTCTCTCAGTCCAGCTGTGGTGGCTTCTCCATGTTGTAAAGCCAGTCATCTTGTTTCTCTGCTTAAAGTCTCTCTGTGGGGGACTTCCCTGGTGGCGCAGTGGTTAAGAATCCACCTGCCAATGCAGGGGACACGGGTTCAAGCCCTGGTCCAGGAAGATCCCACAGGCCGCGGAGCAACTAAGCCTGTGTGCCACAACTACTGAGCCTGCGCCCTAGAGCCTGCGAGCCACAACTACTGAAGCCCGCATGCCTAGAGCCCGTGCTCCGCAACAAGAGAAGCCACCGCAATGAGAAGACTGCACACTGCAACGAAGAGTAGCCCCCGCTGGCCACAACTAGAGAAAGCCCGCACACAGCAACGAAGACCCAACACAGCCATAAATAAATAAATAAATGTATTTTTAAAAAAAGATCTCTCAGTGGGTTAGTTCATCTTCTCTGGCACCTCTGGATCAGTCTTTTCCTCTCTGACTTTATAGCAACAACCCTCCCCCCAACACACACACAGGAAACACAAACAGACATAATAGACATGTTACCAAACCAAAGTTCAGTCTCCTGAAAAGCAAAGTCACTCTCCTGACACCGGGCGGTGGCGAAAGAAAGTACAGTGTTTATTGCAGGGCGCCAAGCAAGGGAGTGGGAGACAAGCCTCAGATCTACTCCACCTTGGTCTTTGAGTGAGGGTTTTTTTGTTTTTTTTTAAGGGGAAGAACAGAGAGGCTGGAATTAATCATCATCTTGTGACATTTCATAATCGTAGTTTTGGGAATCAGGATGTCTCTGGTTTATGATTCGCTGACCAGGTGGGTCCATGGCTTAGGGGTCTGTTAGCTCATCTTGCCCTGGAGACATAACCTGAGTTTGTACATTAATGACGATATCTATAATAGCAATTTTAGCACGCTAATGATGTTATCAACAACAGCAATTTTAGTCATCTGAGTGATTGATTAGTGTTCAGTTAGCACAGGACTGAGGTCAAAGGGGACAAGAAAGGGAATGAAGTTTTAGATAGAGAAACTAGTCAAACTCAGTAAGGGAACTCGGTTTTGGGGGGCTCAGTTTCAGACACACAGCAGCACGGCCTTGCCTGAAGCCAGGCGGCCACTAGCCTTCGTATCCCTGCCTGTGCTAGTGTGTGTGTCTGGAACGTGCTTCCTCTCCCATCTGAAGGCAAAGTTCAGGGCTTCAGGCTTTCCAGCACACAGTGCCACCCTGCCCCTGCCCTGTGGGCCCACACACACACCCAACTGTGGGCTGTGAGCTGTGGTCAGTGTGCCCCCTGCATTCCCGCCACCCGGACTGGGCTCCTAAGCACGGCACCTGGACCAGCGTCACATGGGTTACTCAATGTCTGTTATCAGATGAAGTCTTTCTTTCCCCTCAAGGGTTCCGTGAAAAGTGTTCAGACACGAAGCCAGTGCTAACACTCTGTTGTGGTGGTTTTTATTCCAACAACAGACACTGATTCAGTGTCTCCTCTCTTACCCAGGGTTGAACATTCGTGGCATTCCAGAAGAGGGTCCCCCCGACGCTCAGCTCCAAAAGCTGGATAACATGCTGCTGGCCGAGGGCATATGCAGGCCGGAGAAGCAACGAAGAGGAGCACAGGCGGCGGTCAGCACAGCAACACCAGGTGGCTGTCCAAATGACAGTGGCCTTGAGCACTCTGACTACAGGGCCAAGCTGTCCCAGATCCTACAGATTTACCACTCTGAGCTAGAGAAATATGAACAGGTGATCTTTCTGCAGGAAGAGTTTCTGTCATGTGAATGCGCATTTGTCAAAGCAAAACGTGGAGCGCTAACTGCCTGCCTTTGGTGGCCCAGAGCAGGGAGTCCACACACTTGGTCTCACAGCAAAGGTGGCCGATTTTACTGGAAGCCTTTTGCCTTCACTTCTCAGTAGCCAGCCTGTGCGGGAACCTCGGGGGGCAGGTGGCTGGTCCCACATGGAGCCCCGGGACAGCCTGCTGGGTAGTCACCGGCTGGCATTTGTCTCCCCACCCCAGGCCTGCTGTGAGTTCACCACGCATGTCACCAACCTTCTCCGGGAGCAGAGCAGGATAAGGCCTGTCTCACCCAAGGAGATCGAGCATGTGGTGGGCATCCTCCACGGCAAGTTCAACAGCGTCCAGATACAGCTGAAGCAGAGCACCTGCGAGGCCGTGATGACCCTGCGCTCGAGGTTCCTCGATGCCAGGTCAGGCCCTACCTACCCCCGGCCTATGACCCCAGGGTCAGCTCTTAGGAAGAGGAACCTAAGTCAGTGCTGGCTTGGGTCTAAGTTCTGGGGGCCTCCAAGCCTGTGCAGGGGCTGTGGCCACAGCTGCAGGTGTAGCCCTCACACAGCCTCTTGGAAGGCGACTGAAGTGCTGACTGCTGCTCTTAAAACCTCTAGGGAATCAGAGACGAGGATGAGGCCCCATGTACGATCCCCGGCTGAGGCTGTCTGTCTTCACAGGCGTAAGCAGCAGAATTTCAGCAAGCAAGCCACGGAAGTGCTGAATGAATATTTTTATTCCCATTTGAGCAACCCTTACCCCAGTGAAGAAACCAAAGAAGAGCTGGCCAGGAAGGGTGGCATCACGGTCTCCCAGGTGACAGTCCTTTCCTGCCACACCTCCCTGAACCCAGAAGGGAGGGAAAGTTCAGCCCAGTGAGGAGGACACCCAGGGAAGTTGGTGAAATGTGTGGGGCAGGAGCCGGTTATGCAGGCTCCCAGTCGGCCTGACTGGGCTCAGGTCCCGGGTCTGGGCTATGAACGTGGGCCTCAGGCGGGAAGCCACACCCACCAGGTGTAGGGACTCGCTGAGGCGACTGGTGTGGAGTGTGCGGTCCTGGAGGTGACACCACAGAGTGTATCATGAGGTACTCAGTGGACTGTAGTCGTTAGGATTTAATATTCTCCTAACAGAGGGATGTGCTGTGTTGCGTAACAGGGGTGGGGTATGAGCTTAGGAGAAGAAAAAGAACTTGGAAGAAAATTAGGACTTAAAGTGCTAGACCAGCTCTTGTGCTTAAGTACTGATTCAGTTATCCTGGGATAAATTCAGGCACGTGCATTGCCTTCTTGTTTCTCAAACAGTCCAGTGTGTGTGTCTGGGGGTACAAGACAGACGACATCTGGCTCCAGAGGGGGAATGGTGGTGCAGATCAGAGAAGGGACCTGGACAACCTTGGGCAACCTTGGTAGTCGGGACCACCACTGTCCTCACTGGAATTGGGGTAAGGTGGCGGGGCTAAGACGAGAACCCAAGAAATATTTCCGAAGGCTTTAAAGTGAGAACAGTAAGTGCAGGCAGCCCACAAGCAAGAGGCAGGACCAGGCCACACCCGTGGGGCAGTGTGGGGGTCAGGGCACGGCACCCCACCCCCGGCTACAGGGAGGGCTGCTCCCACTGTGCAGTTGGAGGGGCTGAGTTTCTAGCCCAGTCAGCCTGTGCCCTCCGTCACCACCCTCTGCTCTGGTCCCTGCCCAGTCCAGCAGTGACTTGGGGACAAGGGCACTCAGGAACCCTGCAGGGTCACACAGGCAGCAAAGCCTCACAGGTGTCCCGGTCACATGAGACCTCACTCACCCTGGAACTGCTGCGGTGTCCTCAGCACCTTGGCTGGAGCTGAAGTGAGGGCTGCACCTCTGGGGCTTCGAGGCCCAAAAGAAGTGGGAGGCATGGCAGCTTGTTTGTCACCATGAGCAGTTGTCTAAAAACGGCCAGATTCACTTCAAGCCCTGGCACCCCCAGAGAGCACATGGGTCTTGGGTCTCAACTTTATCTCAGGAGAGGGTTCGTTGCAAACAAAAGTTTGAAAAGCACCGGCCACATTCCAGTGACTCCTGCTCTGTGGCCGGGCCCTGAGACCCCGTCCACCAGCAGCAGAATTCTGTGCTGGGAGCCCCTCCCCACTCTGGCAGGTCCTCCAGCTGGAAATGTCTGACAGCTGAGGGAGGGCTCAGAATTTGGGATACAGATGTGGTGTAGGCTGTGAGGTTCGCCTAAGGAGGAAATAGTGGGGGAGGGAGAGCACCATTAGGGCAAAGGGTGTTGCAGATGAGGCAACAGACGTTTTCAGGACAGGATCAGCTGCAACTCCAGGGTGAGGAGGCCCGAGGGGGAAAGGGCGGGAGAGCTGAGCCCGTGGACAGGGCAACGCGCAGAAACCCAGGCGGCTGCAGCTGTGTGAGCCAAAGGGACCAGAGTGACTGGGCAGGGAGTGGCCAGTGGCTCCGAGCTACAGCTGGTGGAGAGGGCATCCCACTCCTGTATGAGGTGTCGGGACACACCCCATGGAGAGGGTGGACCCTGGCCCGGACCAGCTCCCGGCAGCCACCCTCCCTCACCCACACGGGAAGTTTGCTCTTTGTCCCTCTAAAATGCCAGTTGAATTCAACATGGAAAACTGCTCACTGCCATTCTTCTGCAAACTTAGTCCAGGTTTTGGGCTTCCCTGGTGGTGCAGTGGTTGAGAGTCCGCCTGCCGATGCAGGGGACACGGGTTTGTGCCCCGGTCCTGGAGGATCCCACATGCCGCGGAGCGGCTGGGCCCGTGAGCCATGGCCGCTGAGCCTGTGCGTCCTGAGCCTGTGCTCCGCAACGGGAGAGGCCACAACAGTGAGAGGCCCACATGCCACAACAGTGAGAGGCCTGCGTACCACACACACACAAAAAAAACAGGTTTTTAGAGGAGAAAAGTCCTCCATCCACAGTGCTGCCATGTAACTCAACTGTTTATTTCTGTTCATTAAAATACATACCTTTCACTGCAGGGCCGGGTGCCTTACTTTGGAATATGTCTCCATGCTCTTAGGAAGGCACTGCCCAGGGTCTCACCCAGACGATTCTGCCCCCAGGGGACATTTTCATTATCACAACTCTCGGGGGGAGGGGAGGACACTACTGGCATCTGGTGGGTGGAGGCCAGGGGTGCTGCTCAGCACCCTCAGTGCCCAGGACGCCCCCCAGAGAGTGACCCACAGGGAGAAGCCCTGCCCTGGAGGTCTCGGTGCAGGTTTGGAGTCAGAGCTGGGCTCAGACCTCTAGTCCCTGGGCTGGCCCCTTGCTTACAGGATGCATGTGACTGCAGCTCCCTCCTAACTGGCTTTGGGGACTAAAAACAGGCCCTCAGCTCAGTGCTCAGCTTCTTCCCCTGCCCTGTCATGTGGTCCTTATCCTTTGATAAGTTTTGGATTCAACTGTGTTCTTTGCTTAAATTGCATTCCCAGAAATGTGGTTACTGATGCGTCTCCCACATCAGTGTTCAGTCTGTTGCCTGCTGCCGCAGTGAGCAAACACTCGTCTCTCTGAGTGTGTCACACACATGCCTGTTTTCCTTCCAGCTCTCCCCTCTCCTATAAGCCACGCCAGGTCCAGGGTGTCACCAACACACTGCAGACGTTTCCCTGGGCCCACAGTTCATTAGTGCCACCTTCTCAGTCCCAGCCTCTCACCCAGCCCCAGCGCCACGCATTGTCACTCAGTGATGTTCCCCCCGGCTGTCTGTCCACATCGCGTCTCATCACGAGGTCAGTTTTTTCCAGTGACTTCCATCTCTGCCTGTCCACAGGTCTCCAACTGGTTCGGCAACAAAAGAATCCAGTATAAAAAAAACATGGGGAAGTTTCAAGAAGAGGCTACCATTTACACAGGTAAGATGGCAGAGGACACCACTGATGTCAGGGGCCCGGGCAGCCAGGCCAGCTGCCCTTTGAGGCCCAGCTCCAGTCAGTAAGGCTGCCCAGCCCAGGGTCAGTCACTCCCATGTGGCCGGGCCCACTGAGCTGCATCTGGAGAAGCAGATTGGTCCCTGCGTATGCCTCTTTTCTCTATTTACAGTGAGGTTTCTGTTCCCATTAGTGATTATCCCGGTGAAGTCAAACGTCCCGGCAGGCTAGGCAGGTGCTGTGGGGACAGAAAGTTCCTACCAAAAGTCTGGTTTCCCCACCCACGCAGGGCTGCTGGAGGGGCAGGGAGCCGTAGGAGTCACCTCCTCAGCCTCTTCCTGGCCGGGGGTCTGGTATGTCCCACCTGAGGAGTCACTGTGACTCCCAGGGTGGGAACACTGGTCCTGACGCCTCCCGCCCCTCCAGGTTCCTCTGGTCCCTTTCCGATGACCAGCACCAGCGACACACTTATCACCCTGCAGACGCTGGCCTCCCTCCGGCCCGCCCCTGGGGAAGGCAGCCTTCTGGGCTAGGTGAGTCTCCAGCACAATCCCAAGGACACCTGTGGGCTCCCGGACTCAGTGATAGGGCTGACGTGGAGCCCAGGTGGGTGGCGGGTCCTCGGAACCGGCTGTCTCGACCGTGTCTCAGTCCATCATGGGGACGAATGCAGGCTGGCAGAGCCGCCTCAGGGAGCCCAGCTCTGTGGCGCCCCACTCGGCAAAGACCTTCACGCCTCACAGGACTCGTTGACTGCTGAGGGCTTTGCCTATTGGGAAGGAGCCCTCCCTCCCCGATGGTGTCTGTACCCATCAGGAGAAGGCAAGGGTGGGCAGACGAGGCCCTGACGGTCTGAAGGTACAGCCCCACTGGGCTCAGACCCTTCAACACGTTCATGCCATGGCCTCACCATCCTGGCTGCCCCCTTGGCCGGTGCGAGCTGGGCCAGAGTGAAGATCGGGGAAGAAAATGAGCCATGGATCTCAGCTGTCTCAGGATGTGCCCTCAGGAACTTTCTCAGGGTTTGGGGCAAGGTGCCAGGCCAGCCAGGATCAGAGGGCATCATCCCTCTCGCAGTCCCTGGGGCCTCTCGGCCTCCCACTGACAGCCACAGGGGCCCGACCCCCTACGCAGGGTTGTCCTGAAGAGGCTGCGCAGGTGCAGGTGTGACAAGGCCATGCGGCAGTGGGCAGGGCCTTACACAGCCCACCTGTTTCCTTCGGAGTTGACCCCCCACCCGTTTACCCCCAGCCCCTCTTAAAGGTTCAGGGAATGGATGCCTCCCGGTGCCAGGCAGTGCACATCCCATCACTGTGGCAACCCCACAGCCCATAATGAGCACCTGAGCAGAGTAAGTGCTCTGACACCACCAGGTGGCCAGACCTGTCCGGCTCTGCCCTTGCCCAGGGTTCAGCACCTCAAGCACAGTAGGGGTGAGCGTGTGAGAGTGAATCGGGGTGAGTGTTGCGTGGACTGTGACATGGGGTCCTGTCAACCCCACATAGTAAGCAGGAAGGTTGGGGTTGTGGTGTGGACACCCACGTGTGCTGTGGGCCCCTGCCCTGGACAGGCATAGATGCTCTTCCAGAGAGCAAGTCTCAGGGGCTGAGGTCACCCCAGCTGGGAGCCATCTCCTCGGCCCTGAGCTGCCCTTTGGCTCCCAGTCCCACACTGGGCCCCAGCCTCTCACCTCCCAGGCCTGCAAGTGGACCCCTCCCCTCACCACTCATGTTCTCCTTCTGGGATCATAGGCCTATGGGTGTCCATCCAAGGGCAGAGTGTGTCCCCCTGAGGCCAGTATCCTTGTCCCAGTTGCTTTCAGACTGAGGGTGGGCGGAGCAACGCTGGCCTCTCAGTGTCCCTGTGTCACATGATGAGGCAGCCCTTGAAAGAATTCTCTTGATTTGTTTGCCCAGCACTGTCCTCTGTGGCAGCTCCTTGGGACACATGGGAGGTAATAGCTGAGGCAGGGGAGGGGGGAACGGGATGGGGGGGTGAGGAGCAGGGTCTTGGGCCTTGTGGGGTCGGAAGGGGTAGAGGGTGCAGGCAGGAGGGTTCAGCCTGTTAAGGAAAGTTCAAGAATGAGGAAGGTGAATGGGGCTTCCCTGGTGGTGCAGTAGTTAAGAATCCATCTGCCGAGGCAGGGGACACGGGTTCGAGCCCTGGTCCAGGAAGATCCGCCTGCCAATGCAGGGGACACGGGTTTGAGCCCAGGCCCGGGAAGATCCCACATGCCGCAGAGCAGCTAAGCCCGTGAACCACAACTACTGAGCCTGCACTCTAGAGCCCGCGCGCCACAACTACTGAGCCTGCGAGCCACAACTACTGAGGCTGCGAGCCACAGCTACTGAAGCCTGCACGCCTAGAGCCCATGCTCCACAGCAAGAGAAGCCACCGCAGTGGAGCAACAGAGTAGCCCCCCGCTCGCCACAACTAGAGAAAGCCTGCGCACAGCATTGAAGACCCAAGGCAGCCAAATAAATAAAATAAATATATAATTAAAATAAAACAAAATAAAAAAGAATGAGGAAGGTGAAGGGGAGCTTGTGAGTTGCAGGCTCTGCTCTCGTGGGCTGCAAACCACTACCAATAGTAGTGGTTTCCACTGTGGGGGGCTCCTGTGGACAAACATCCCAGGGTCACATGTGCCTGATATATCCCCGCCCTGCCGACAGAGCCCACACGCCTGCAGCCATGGGCGCTGCCCTCCTGACTCCCAGCCAGGCCCGCGTCCTGCTGGGTTCCTGAGCCTCTTCCTGCTCACCACGTCTCACCACGATGTTTGGGGGACCACCGTCAGCTCCGGGCCTGCCTGGGTCTCCCTCACCCTTGGAGTGTGTGCCACAATGCCCCGCCAGTCCTTTGCCAGAGCCCAGCCAGTGGAGGCCAGTTCCTGCCAAGGAGGCACACACATGTGCAAGGCCAGCTGTGACCCAGGACTGACCCCTCTGTCCCTGCCCCATCTCCTGGCTCCTCTCACGGTTCTCGGCATGTTCTAGGCCACCTCAGGGATGCGGGGGCCGGATGGGTCATCTGTCCCACGGCCCCCCTCTGACTCTCTGTCTCTGTCTTTTCAGGCCATGGTGGCTGGCAGGTGAGGCGAATGTCGACCGCTTCACCTATTGGAGACCCCGGCAGGGTCACCTCAGACGCATCTAATTAAGTGTTGGGATGAGCAGAAAAGAGGACGGTGTGACCTGCCTTGGTTCCCTGGAATTCATGTTTCCTCAGAAAACCCAGAATGGACATCAGACAGCGCTCCCTGAGCTGACGGCAGGCGACACCGGTACCATCTTTTGCTTGTCAGCTGGGCTTTGAAATGGGCTGAGACACTCCTCGTTCTGCCAACTCTGTTTGGTGTTTTTTACAGTAATTTTATGGTTAAGGCTGAATTGTTTCTTCCAGGACTTGGCACAAATTCTCCCATTACAATTTTGGACTGATTTTAATTTCGATGTCGTTCACTCCCAGATTTGTTCCTGCCGATGGCTGACCGCGCAGGTGCAGGGCTGCAGCTGCGCAGTTGGGCGGGTTGTGACTCTGTTTGCTCGTTTGTCCATCCGTGTGCCAACTCGCCCGGACACTGCCTTCCACACTGTCTTCCGCTGTGTCCTTTCATGCGGTTTTGATTTAAGTCTGTTGTGAGCTCAGAATTTTACTGGGAGTTGGTTTGGCACCTTTTCCCGTTAATACAAGTTCTGCCATTTTCAGCTGAAATGTCGTTAAGACGATAAACTTCCCAAGCACTTGCCTGCATCCGTGCTCTTGAAATCCTGCCGGCCTGAGGCTCGGCGCTGCGAGTCCCCTGGCTCCTGGATGTCCCTCTCTGTCTCCTCGCCCAGTTCCTCCTCTGCGTCAGCCTTCGGGTGGGACCTTCCCTCTGTCTCCTCCTCTCTTCCCCTCACCGGGAATGAAGATGCTAGAGCTGGGCTGTTGGGAGAATTAAATGAACCTGGGCTCAGGACAGCTCGGGGCTCTGAGCAGGTGCACTGTATCTGCCCGTCAGTCAGTGTCATCGCGGCCCTAACCCCGCACTGTCAGCTGCCACCATGACCAGCATCTGAGCTTCTGTCCAGAGTGTTTCATCTCTGGACGCAGAGTGTTCTGACTCCCGTGCATCTCCACACCAGCTCCGCCCAGATCCTAGCCAGCTGGATGCATCACCGTTCTCCCGGTTCTTGGGCCCCCATGCCCGAGAGATCCCTCTGTCCTGTCTCCAACCCCCACGGGTGCCACCACCGTGGCGCCGACACTCTAGTGAGGGCTGCAGACAGGAAACGAGGTGCGGGAGTGAGGGTCCGCTGGGTCACAGCCATGCAGCACAGCGGGGTCCCAGCCTGCACCCCGAAAGACTGAGCACGGTGGTCTCCTGGGATCAGAGGACCTCTGCCCCCAACCCCTCTGGCTTCCATCCCCCCCGCACATCTGCCCATCCCAACCCATCACACCCATGGGCCTCTGGGCAGCAGCCGGCTGCTCTCACCTGGCCTGTCACCACACTGCCCTCCACGTCTCCATTTCTGTTGCTTTCAAGAACCAGGAAATGGATATCTAAGGCAGGTGATACAACCTCAGCCAACCGTGTCCGGGTCCTGGCCCCTTCTCCACCGGCACCCACGGCATGCTTGTCCTCAGGGTGACCTGCCAAGATGGTCCGCGGCGGTCTGGGTGTGTCCCCACAGACGAGTCCCCACTTGGCACACCATGCTTCTCTCTACACGATGCATCTTGCACTGGCCACTGCCTCTGTGTCTGGGAGGATCTTCCTCCAGTGAATGAACTGCCACGGCTGGAGCCCCTCAGCCCCAGTGCTGGATATTTTAGGTAGTTCCCATCTTTGCAGCCCTGTGCCCGCGACGCCCCTCAGTTCGAGTCTCTTTGGTGCTGTTCTGCGAGCCCGCCCCCAGCCTGGCTCTCTGCACAGTTGGTGCTTCTTTTCTTCCCCTCACTGCCTTGCAAACCTTCAGGGCGGGCGGGGGACAGCCATCAGGACCTCCCCCTGCATCTGTGACCTTTCCACTGAGCGCTCCCAGCTGCTCTTCACCCTATCCCTGCCAGCAGGAGCTGTTAGGATGCTGGGCAACCCCAAACCCACAGCCTGGGGGGGTCTCGGTCAGTCGAGGCTGTTGTACAGCCCACCCAAAAGGCGACCCCGTCCCCATGAGCAGTCACTCCCCATTTCCCCTCCCCAGCCCCTGGCAACCATTCATCTGCTTCCTGTCTCTGTGGATTTGCCTGTTCCGGACATTTCATATACATAGAATCATACGTGTGGCCTTCTGTGTCTCGCTTCTTTCACTCGGCATGTTTTCACGGTTCACCATTTTATATATAGCGTGTGTCAGTGCTTCATTCCTCTTTATGGCCAACATCCCATTGGGGACTGTGCCTTAAGACAAGGCCTTAGGGAGGTGATTGAGAGAGCATGCCAAGGTGCAGGGTGGGCGCTGCCCGAGGTACCCACACCAGTGGGAGGGCAAGAGGTGCCGGCCCTTGGAAGGGGCCAGGCCTGGTGTGAGCAGGGGGCACCCCAGGGGGACTCACATCTTCACGATCCGCTGCTGCATCGAGAACAGACTGCAGGAAAGGGGAGTCCAAGGGTCCTGCGACCTCCCAGCTGGTGGTCAAGTGCAGGCCGGGGTGGTTAGGGTCGGGGGACGTGGGTGAAGGTAGACCTGCGGGACCTGCTGCTGAGTAGGAATGGGGTGGTCTGAGCCACAGGAAGACTGGACGGGGACATCACGGAGGGAAGGTAGCTCAGCTCTGGACTGACAGGCTTGGGGTGTGCATGCAACTCGACATCGGAGTCTTGTTCAGGATAGAAATTTGGAAGTTGAGAGAGGCCAGAATATGGGACAAAAACCAAGACAGGATGTCATGGAAGCCAGAAGGACAGATTTCAGGAGCAGAAAGTGAAGGTCCACCAACATGGAAAAATGACTGCCAGACTGAGCAGCCTGGGTTCAGTGGAGCGATGGGGCCACCGATTAGTTCAAGAGACAGTCAGCGACTCAGAGGATCAGAGAGCACAGTCAGCTCTCCAGGAGATTCGCGGCAAAGAGGTCGTCAGAGGCCTTGTGGAGAAACTGAGGCAGTGCTGCGGAGAGCTGCCGGGTAGGTCCTGTGGGAGCAAGAGGGTGGGATGTGCCACGGCAGGTCGTGTGGACACTGGAGAGGAGGTGGAGAGCGCGGTCCCAAAGGAAATAGACAAAGCAGCAATTTGTGGGTCCCAGGTGGCCCTGGAGCCTCCCGCTCACTTGCGCGCTCTCGTGGCTGTGGCGTGAATGCGGCTCATGGTTGGCTCGGCTGCCAGCTTCTGGCTGAGTCTCTTGGAGGTTTTGTTTGCTTGTTTGTTTCGGTTTTCTGGCGGCACTGCGCGGCATGTGGGATCTTAGTTCCCTGACCAGGGATCGAACCTGGGCCCCCTGCAGTGGAAGCGCCTAGTCTTAACCACTGGACTGCCAGGGAAGTCCCTCTCGGAGGGTTGTAATTTGAGGAAACTCCCTAGGTCAAATTCTGCACATAAAGTCACACTTTACCAGCATTTCATACTGCATTATTCAAAAAAATGCCTAAAATGTGGCCACATGACACTAATCGGGCTATAAGGACTACAAGAGCGCAGAGGAGTCACCTGGCACCCCCTGAGACCACCCTGCTGGCAGAGTGGGTGCTGATGGCACCTCCATGCAACAGGTGGGGACACTGAGGCACAGAGGCTTCGTGACCTGTGCCCCAGGCTCCCATTTAGGAGAGAGACAGGCAGAGCCAAGGCTGTGAGCCCGAAGGCAGTTCTGGGGAGACAGCTCATCAGTATGGCTGCTCAAGATGGCAATTTTCTAGAATCTATTAATATTAAAAATGCACACACCCTCTCCCTCAACAGTTTTCCTTCTAAGAATTTTTCTACAGGAACATACAACTGAATGCAAAATGATGCATTTCCTGCCACATTTTTTGTAATTGCAAAAAAATGAAAATAAATGTCTGTCCTTTGGGCACTGTTTAAATCACGCTGTTCAGCCCTGCAGTGGAATAGCATACAACCATTCAAAAGACTAAAGTAGCTTTTCTCCACAATGCATTAATGTAAAAAGTAGGAAGGATAACCATTTGTGTCCATTTTTGAAATTGGGGGGTGGGGGTATCCAAGTATCTCTGGAAGGAGACACAGGTCACAGCCGTGGCCACTGGGGAAGGAACCAAGGATCCAGTAGTTGACAGGGAAGCGATCTCTCATTTCTCTGTATACCCTTGGGCAGTCTGCAGTTTAGAAATCCCTGAGGCTTGTGCTGGGAGAGCAGCAGGAGCCCTTGGAACACTGACCACTCCCTTAGCCAGTCCTGCTCATTACTCATTATTCCCCCCT